AGCGCGAGCTATTGTGTCAAGACTCGATAGATCAATACCAAATCCGTCGTGGCAAACATAGGCGCGTATAGCAAGTGCTGGCACTAAGTGAATCGTCGCATCGTAAAAACGAGGGAATGTGTATGTGAATATTTTTACACCGACACGGCCGACGATAGTTTTCGTTCATACGGCTCGGACTTGACAAGAAAAATTGGTAGATGAGGCTTGCAACCGAGCCACACCCACCAATCAAAATGCTCTGCGTGAGATAAAGACTGGGACCGAGACAACATATTGCATCTCGGGCTTACACGGAAATGCAGTTTACGGAGATTTATCCAGCGAGCATTAAATAGCATGAGAGTCAGCTCGGGTCCGGTAAAAGGCACCTATCCTCCGAGACACCGATGAAGGATAAGGCTGCTTTGCAGATGTGTATGGGAACATATGATAATAATATCAACGTCAAAAACTTGCTCTGGCGTCGCCACTATTGGGGCATGGGGTCCCTATCCATTCGTCGTTGTGACAACTTTGAAATTCGACGTGGCTGAATACCATCAATTTTCTTTTGACGACAAAATATTGACCGTGGAGACACCGAAGAGTGATCAGTAATTGTGATAGAATTTTTGTTCGAGAAGATTTACTATTTCGGACGTGGGATCAAACTGGCTAAGGATCAGGATCGACCCTTGTACCGTACCTAGTTTTCAGTCATCATTCAACAATGCAATGCGAGCAAAACAAATCCTTCGCGTTTTACATGACGATGCTGGCGCCAGTGCTATTCGCCGCATTCTCGGTATCTCCTTAGCCTAAGCCTTACATATACTCGGTGTAAATGAGCAATGACATCTTTAGATATCTCGCTTGTCAAATTCCAACTCTTAAAAAAGACTATTATGAGCTGGGTATGAGCGAAGTCGGTTTCCTACAGGAATCTATTTCCTGTTTCAAATCTAAATAAACGTTAGCCTGGCATTGATACAATTATTAATAATTCATCTTTTACGAGAGGCCTCCGCGCATCGCGGCTGGTATAACCCCTTGCTCACACATCCCCTTTTGAATATTACCTAAAGGAGCAATATAGTTATAATATTAGGATAATGCCAGCTGGTTCAGGGATTACAAATAAGATAGGGAATGATATTTCCTTTTACTATCGAACGTTCTAAAATGCTGTCCTAATCACGTAGTTTTGCGCATAGTGAAGCGTCGAACAGGAACTACCCAAATGGCCTGCCTTTAGCAGGTAGCCATGAACGAGTTGTACTATGGTCCGATGGGTAAGAATTAGCACACTGTCAGGTATTTGGGAGTTATATGGGGACAACCGGCCTTACCAATTTGGTGGTAGCGTGTCCTAGTGCACCCTACGGGTACTTTCAAACCCTGATTCAGAAAATTATTACTTAGCCAATACTTTGAATGGTGGCTTCAAAATAATTGCTGATTATAAAGATTATGCTAAATAATATCTATGGTTATTTTTTGTTAGAATAGCTTTAGTTTTATGATGTAGTTGACGTTGATGCTGCAATTCTTCGAATGTATTGGTAGTCCCACCAAGATCTGCTGCTAAACTATAACAAGTAAGGAGGTTCTAAGAATCAGGGGTCCCCAGCCAAAAAGTTGACCTGACAGTGTGCTAATTCTTACCCATCGGACCATAGTATGGGCACTACGGAGTGCGTCTAACCGCCAATAATAGAATATGTGAGCGGAAATGCTGGACAGATACATAAAGACATCCCTGAGCTGAGCCGCTTAAGGTCCCTGTAGATCAGAACGGCCAGAATCCTCTTCTGTCTCTGGAATTTTCAGAGCAAACTAACGATTGTTTTGTGAGTAAGAATCATCTCAGCAACCCGTTCGGGATAGCTCAACACAAGATGAAGGCTGATGCTTTTACTGAAAGGACGTCCACAGGAATGGGCAGCCCATGTAGGATGATATGTAGTAGAGTAACATCAATATTCAATCATAAAAAGCTTATGTGCATGATGTACACAAGCATCAAGCCAAAACGCGGTTGACTAATGCCCGTGACTACCCTCTATGAAGATAATATAGTGGGTGACGAGATAAGTGTGAAGGAACCGTACGAAGGTCAGTCGACATTCACTAGTTATGTGGTGCTGCATTCCTAGTAGGTGCCCACACTCCGCGGTCTAGAATTCCAAGAACCGGTATGTTTCTAGATCACTCGTCCATTAATCATAGCTTCTTCCAATATCAACCGGCGAAAGATGTACGTTCAGGTACTGTCCTTCCTTTCAGAGTTGCATATCCTATGCACGTTGGTAATCTTGAATGTACAGTCCCATTTGACGCCCGAGGAGGCTCTGACAGTGGCGGGGCAAGGGTGTAGATCCTTCATCCTTTCGAGTCCTTCGGTGCGAGGCACTATTACCTAAGACGGCAGTCGTAGAACCATCATGTTTCGATCTTTGGTTATGCTCATAGCGTATGACGAGATATGGAGTTTTTCTGACACCCACCGGGATAGTCGACGATAAAGAACATTATACGGGCAACGATTAGACAGCAAGGCTACCGTGTCCTACAGGAATAGATGAGTTGACCAACTCACCCTACATGAGACTTGTCTCTATATACGAAAAAAGCAGCTCCCGGTGAGCCAGATATGGGTAATGGATGACTTTATGGTGTGTGGCCAATGCAAGGGACGAAGCCCTTTTCCCCTTGGGGGAGGCAATCCCAAGATGTATACTAACTAGATGTCGAAATCGTAGAGTGATAATATTTACATGAGACTTGCTAAAACGAACAACACAAAACACGTACAAGCCGTTTTGCGCATGTTGTGGCGTCTTAATAGCTATGACATATAGGCATACTTCAGGATATCAATGTGAAACTTCCGGGCAAGAGAAGACACCCTACAGCACAGCCCAACTATGCCATCGACCAAATACCAGGTAAAGGCGTTGTAGTAATGGACACGAGCTCAAGCCATACCCAAGCTTTGTCTCGATTTCCCAAACCTCAACAGTTGGATGCCCGGACACCAACGAACCCGGGTTTATATCATTGTCCGCTAATCCGGCTGAGACCATGCGGCTAAATTGTGCAACGTCGTACGATGCCCGCCGTCGCGGCCTTACGGAACATAACCGATACGTCTGTTCGACATTAAAAGAGCTATCCGTGAATGAGGCGAAATATGTCGTGCATTTATCCCTCGTCGACCGGTTCAACTTCGTCAAGCAGCTCAGTATACGCTGCCTTAGTGAACAGCATCTTAACACTCCACGGGTCTCCGTTCGGTCGTAAGAGGAATGATACGTTACACAGAGATCCCTAAATATACGGGGCGCCGGTAGAGGTGGTCGTGATAGTAGAGCTCAATGTTTACCTATGTCCAGGTATACCATCAAGCCGTAGCTGAACAAAGCCTCTCAAACTCATTGATTAGATGTATATAAAACGTGAGGTGGATAAAGTGATAACATTCCAATGAGTGACATGCCGAGAAGACCCTCGTCGTTAATAACATGGTAGTGAGGGCGAAGGAGCAACGTTCCGTGCAAAGATCAACATGTCTGTAATATATTATACAGCCGGTTGGCATAAGGCACCAAGTCAGATGGCTTCGGTTTGCAGTAAGGAGGGACATAAAACCATATTGGTGTTGCTAAACTTCAGGATCTTGTTACGCTACTCTGGGGCGAATGTAATGTTGCCGACAAGATACAGAGATTGTATCTTCCATCTATTCCGCTGTAGGGGTGGAGTTCTCCCTGAGTTTTCTGAGTCACATGAGGGATAGTCAAGATAATTTCGAGTCTATGTCGTGTCACGGATTAGCATTAGATGGACCGGGACTCTAGAATGAATGCCGAGTTCCGAGGAAACCTGAACTCTATTTAGGCGTACACATGAGAGTAAACCCGTGTCGCGCTGTCTATGTTATCATAAGTAACCTTCCGGTCGACGAACTGGTGAATGAGAGGTGGAAGCTCGATACCTATTTTGACGACTATGCGAGGGATCAGCTCGTAGACTATGGCAACGTCATTGAGTAGAATGTAGTAGCAAGGGGCCCGTATCAGCCGCATAAACATATGATATCAACGCCTGAACCCTCCATTATATGACTTCCGAAGCCCCCTAGAACATGAAGCTAATGCCTCTCCGGTAAGGGGCTTCTAGGCCACCTCCTATTCTATGCCCGTAAAGTTGGTATCAAAGAACTCTTACGGGCTGGTCTAAAGTAAAAGTTGATGTCCAACGGGCTTTCGAAGTATTCATGACCGGAGATGTAGCAATATGTCCAGTAGACGCATGATATGCTGTGGTGACTATCAATGCTAAGTCACCTTAATCGAGCTTAACAGATTCACCTTCAGCTAGTACGCTCCTGTATTCATGAGTTGAAAGTAGAGTGGCCAAGTCGCCTCTACGGAGGATATTAGAAGCTTTGTGCTTGAATAGGTAGGTATTGAGCGCGCACGAGTTCGATCAGTGGTGGCATTCGACAGTCAAGGGGAGAAGAGGAGACGGGAATGACGCGATTTCCTCAATCGACTAGGTCATGAGAGATCCTTCAAGCCGATGTTGTATAGGTAGCTTATTATGAGGTAGTCTGTAACCTCCAAAAAGGAGGCGGTGTCATATTGATAACATTCCCGTGTAAGAGGAACACTAAATTATTATATGTATGGACACAACTGAGAGATATGGGTTCTATGGAGAGACATGGAAGTGCGATACGTAGAGAGTGCAGTGGAGGTAGGTCGATTGAGCAAACTAGAGCTTGCACTTGCCAAGTAGTAGTTGAGGACATCTATAAACTTTCTTCAGGGATATATATTTTCCACAGGTAGCGTATTAGGAGGCAGTTTAAAGGGTATTCTTGGTTCGTGTCAAGTCCCTAGCAAATATGCTCTATCTATCAATAGCCAGTAATAAGCATGGTGCTAGATGGTCAAGAAAACATCTCTGAAGGAAAGCTATAAAACGAACCTGTGGTAACGATCTCATGGGAATTGATGGGAAGCACCCTTTAAACATGTGTTGGGACGTAATGCCAATATTATTATGGCATTCCTACTGAGTTAAGGTATATACAATACTCTAGTTATTAACCCCATGAGCATTTGACTAGATTTATGGAACTATGGTTCGAATCTCCCGATAGCGACGTTCCTTTCTGCCTTCTAGTGAATGCTTTTCAAATCCTGACTATCGAAAGGCCTATGGGTAGGTCCGTGGAAGCAGAGGCAAACTGTGGAAGGTACCGGACATTATCAATTTGTACCTTTCAGTATAGTGAAGAGAGATCTAACGACGTTGCTGAGCAGCATTGGGTTGGATACACGAACTAACTTCTCAACGTCTGGTTCGCCTCCTTTTGCTAGCTCGTGTTGGTTCTGCGGTGTTAAGCTCTTCAGTCTTGACTACTTCCGTGACCGCAACCTGGCGCCTCTTTCGGGAACGACTTGTAGGCTTGCTTGTGGCGATATCTTCTTCAGCCTCCTTAACTTCAACTTTGATATCAACCACTTCGGTTTTGCTCGATGCTTGTTCCGAGAATGACTTTAAGTTTGCGGTGAAGAGTACTGATTGAGCCCATCCTGCCTGTTTACCCCATATCTCCCGAAAGTGATCACCGACAGCGTCATACATGGCCTTGGAGAACGTCTTTGTTTTGACCTTGCCGAATTTGTAATCTCTCTGAGCGATCTGCCACACATGGGTATCTACGGGGATTGCCTCATCCCATCCCAGACCCATAAGGCAGACGCAGTCTGCAACCTTTGGCCCAACGCCAGAGAGAGTGAGAAGTTCCTCATGGGCGAATCTGTAGGTAGGCGGTCCGTCGGCTTCCTCCGTCTTCATGGTAGACCAGCCCGGGTTATCAGGATTGATTAAACTCTCGAGCCATCCTGCTGGTCTTTCCTCCGTGACTATACGAGCCGTCTCGGCGATGTATTTGGCCCGGTATCCAAAACCGAGCTCCCTGAGGTGAGCCTCTACCTTTTTCCCGCTCAAAGCTTGGGGAGTGGGGAAATCATGGAAGGCCTCGTCACCAATGTGTCCGATCAACGGGCCATAGTGTTTACAGAGCTTATGGACCTGTAAAGTGTAATGTTAGCACGTGAGTATAGAGTTCAAGAGGAATGGCTATGATATACCATTTGTGAGATACGCGAAATATTGTTGTTGCTGCTGCAGATGAACGCTATTAATGCTTCCCATGGGCTTTGACTTAGAATTCTAATTCCTGTAAACTTGGGAGCTTTCTTCCGGAAATTAGGGTCAGAATTAGACCATTGGTCATATAGTGCTGTTACTGTTGCAAGTATGAGTTAGTAAGAGAGTTGTGTATTAAGATAATTCTATGACTTAGCCGTCTAACAGTGCAATTCCTCAACGAATGAAATACATGGTATATTTTTGGAACACATGTTAAAAGTATCAGCTGGGCCTTGGGGTAGTCTTACAGTCATGCTTCAAACTAAAGTAATGTCGGAGGAGGGCTTCGGTATCATCATCACTTTCGCTCTCTGGCTCGCCTTTTACGGATAATGGAGGTGTCAACGATGGTGGAACAATTGGAGAAATCACTTTGTAGTGAAGATGAGTTTTGTCCTGTTTCAACGAGAGCAGTCGGCCATGTAGAACACAGTTCCTAATGATAAACCATCTTAGTAATTCATTTGGATACCTATCATTAAAGTAGAAGACGCGTTACCATTCATCGTCTATTTTGCGCCAACGAAATGACTGTCCACAGCGGAGTGTTGTCTCAATGCACAAATCGGTCAAGCTCAAAGGCAACTTTCGCCATTCGGATATTCGTATAGGAGACATTCAGATACTGAATTGAGTGAACTGTAGGAGAGATGTAAGTTTATATAGTGGTCAATGAATAAAACGTCCAATGTTTTTAGTCTTGTTAGGTGCATCGGACTTAAAGGCTTAAAGGGGGTTTAATAATTCTTTTCTTCAGTGGTGTTTCGCCTCTTTCCCTTATTTTTACTTTTTATCGCCCCAAAAGAGGAAAGCGGGGCTGATATCTGCTAAATCTAAGTAAGCTAGTCCCAACTAGGCTTAGCTATATGTATTCTGTACCACTTGAGCCACTCAGCGTCTGCAAACCTCCGACGTGAACCAACCAAAAAATCTATTTTCCAGCCTCGTTGTAGCTCCACTGACTGTCAACAGCTCAACCTAACTTACATACATGCAGCATAGCTCGTTATCTTCTAAGTTCTTTCAATTCCTGCCTGCTCTACTTTACCTTACCACCGTCTTCACTTTTGATTGAAGACTGTTCACTTTTTTTCATTTCTTTCGTACTGCATTTTGCACGAGGGATTGAATCAACATTATGAACGGAGACAGTTACACTTCTCGAGGTAAGAAAGCATTCCATTCCATTTAGGTTTCTATCATCCTATTGAGAACATATTAATTAAATGATCATATATAGATGGCCGTCATGGCTCATCTCGAGATTTTGCTCGCGATGACCGGAGAGACCGAGGTGATCGACGGGAGCGACGACGAAGCAGATCGCCTCGTCGGTCGCATCGTGATGCGAGAGATGAGGATGCTTATGCTTCAAGTCGCAGCCACCGAGATCGCGAACGTGAAGACCGATACGGTGGTGCTGGCGGCGGCAGAGACCGAAGAGACCGAGAATGGGATCGCGATCGTGGATCAAGAAGAGATGGTCGTCGCGAAGATGCTGGCGGCCGGCCCCCTCGACGCGACCGCGACTTATTCGATGATCGACGCGGTGGCGACAGGCGAGATCGCGACAGAATTGAGAGAAACCGAGATGATGACCTCTTCGCTCAGAATCGACGAGGACGTAGCCCAACGCCACCACCCAAGAAGCGCGAGCCAACTCCAGATCTCACCGACATTATCCCTGTTTTAGAGCGCAAACGACGCATGACCCAATGGGATATCAAGCCTCCTGGTTATGAGAACGTTACCGCCGAACAAGCCAAACTATCTGGCATGTTCCCCCTACCGGGCGCCCCTCGACAACAGCCTATGGATCCTACGAAATTACAAGCTTTCATGAACCAACCCGGCGGTGCGGTTAACAGCGCAGCACTGAAGCCAGGCAATTCCCGACAAAGCAAGAGATTGATCGTTTACAATGTCCCTCCTGGTTCAACGGAGGAAATGATCATGGGCTTCTTCAACCTTCAGTTGAATGGCCTTAACGTTGTTGAGAGTACCGACCCCTGCGTTCTGTGTCAAATTTCCAAGGACCAGTCATTTGCTCTTCTTGAATTCAGACACGCTTCGGAAGCTACCGTTGCCCTCGCCCTTGACGGTATCTCGATGGAAGCCGATGTTGCGAACGGCGCTGCTAATGGTAATGGACGTGGTTTGAAGATCCAGCGACCTAAGGACTACATTGTACCAGCCATTGCCGAGGATGTTCCATACAAGGCTGGAGTAGTCTCGAACGTGGTTATCGACACTCCGAACAAAATCAGCATCGCAAACCTGCCCCCGTACCTTACCGAAGAACAAGTCACTGAACTGTTGACCTCATTCGGCGAACTTAAGGCCTTGGCTTTGGTTAAAGATATTGGAACCGAGGAATCTCGCGTAAGTCACTCTTCATATTTGATTTGTATTGAATTTCTCGGATCTAAGTTTTGATAGGGTATCGCATTCTGCGAATTCGTTGATCCCGCCACAACAGACATTGCCATTCAGGGCCTCAACGGTATGGCCATCGGTGACAACAAGCTTAAGGTGCGGAAGGCTAGCATTGGTATAACCCAGGTCGCGGGCGTTGAGATGGGCGTGAATGCTATGTCCATGCTTGCCGGAACCACCGCCAACGACTCGGAGGAGACTCGTGTTTTGCAGTTACTGAACATGGTGACACCGGAAGAATTAATGGACAACGATGATTACCAAGGTATGCATTCTATCTATTCTTCATGCCTAAATTTGCTAACTTCATTAGAAATATGTGAGGATGTCCAAGAAGAGTGCTCGAAGTTCGGCCAGATCATAGATCTTAAAGTTCCTCGACCTACTGGTGGTAGTCGACAATCTTCGGGAGTTGGCAAGATCTATGTCAAGTATGACACGACGGCGTCTGCCAAGAAGGCTCTACAGGCTCTTGCGGGCCGAAAATTTGCAGACAGAACCGTAGTGACGACATACTTCCCAGAGGTGAGCATATCCATTCTTTATACGATAATTAATACTGACCTATTATGCGTAGGAAAACTTCGAGGTGGGCGCGTGGTAGTTAAAAAATGGGTTCATATAGTCTTTCATCCCGAAGTACGAAGAGGTTATTACCGCTGCGCAGATACGATTTGCGGGAAAGGAAGGCTGGGCTAACGAATCGCAAGGCTTAACACTGCGAATTGTACAACAACAGACATACGTGATGGAGTGGCGTACTAATGAGGCAATTCACAGCACTTGTCGGGCTTGAAATCACTGGATGTGTTCAATCATCGGAACGATATAATACTCGTTCGACATTTCCCGCGTAAAGCGTCAACTCGTAAATGGTCGCATACAGAGGTCGACAAATCCTGCCTTGTCTAAAGAGGTAAGGTTAATGATACTCGCCATTGCCCAATATCGTCCTCTTAAAAGAATGACAGCTGCTTCTGGACCAGTGCCTGATGATATTCTGTCTTGGCCGAATCATTCATGCATAGTATATGCTGTGTTGTTTCATCAGTAATATCTACTAATTTCGATGAAGATCTACGGGGTGATCTAAACATTTGAACAAGAAGGTTCTGTCGACGAGTTATGGTTTCGCCAATGAGACGTTACCCAGCGTGGGATGATTACATTATTACGTAACGTTTGCTTGGTGAGTGTACGGCGCTTGGGCTTTAAACTTGAAGTTATAACTGCACATGTGTAGTTGCACATAGCTGTGGCATTAGTTAGCTAAAGCTATCCAACCCTTCAAGTTGAAAGTCCTCGAAAAAGTGTTCAAATTGTCGCACACTAGTCTATCATGTCGAAACCAACAGTATCAGATTTTTTGCTCTCGAACCCCGAGATAAGTGACCTGTATCAGCGAGCTACTCAGTCCGACTTTCTTAGCCTTGCTGGTCAAGGCCAGTTACCCCCGGATATTCTTAGTCAATGGCTATCTCAAGATCGGCTCTACGCCCAGGCCTACGTTAGATTTGCTGGAGGATTGATCTCTCGTGTTCAACTACCGACTAGGTTGAATGACCGAGAGACCACAAAAAGTCTGGAATGGCGCATTCTGACGCTGATCCAGACTGCTCTTGCAGGTGTTACGAGGGAGCTACAGTTATTTGAAGAAGCCGCTAAGAAATACGGACTGGACCTTGAAGCCCTCGGACCTGTGGCCGAAGGAAATAATTTGTCCAACAAGTCGACCGTTTTCGGACCTAATAAGGTCACGCAGGATTACATCAACTTATTTGACTCATTCGCCGCGCAGCCTCGCGGAGATGCGTCCAAAACTCTCCTAGACGGATTGGTCCTCCTCTGGACTACGGAGAAAGTTTACCTAGATTCTTGGACCTATGCAAAACAGCAGGCTTCGGGTAATACAGATAGTAAAGCGGATCTCGACGGCGGAGCTTTACGGAAGGAGTTCATTCCTAATTGGACTTCTGAGGAGTTCGTGGCTTTTGTGGATGAGTGTCGGGAGTGTCTGGATGCCTACGCCGCCACACAAGCTGAGGACACGGAGGAAGTCATCGCTACGGGTTCGATGGTGCTTTACAAGAAAGTCCTTGTCCTCGAGGAATCGTTCTGGCCAATGGTCGCATGAGGGCAGTACTTTTCAGACCGAAAACGTTCGTCATTCAACCCTGAAAAACGTAATCATATAGATCGAAGATTCTTTTGAGGAAGAGTAGCTGGGTTGTGAGGCTAAATCACTGAGGATACTAGGTATCGCTGTTATGTTTGAATGACTAGGTACCAGTCATCCAATTTAATACTGAAATAAAATATCAAATCACAGTAGTAGGAAAAGAAGCGCTTTAGGGGATGAACTATATTGCTTTTAGCCATAAACTGGGTTTAATGATAGATTGATATAAACCAATCGCTCAATTCAATATCCGAGATACTTAACGGTTATCGCCCCATATTTTATTGTTGTCGAGGTAACGATAAGTGCCACAGGTGCCACAATCAAAATAGTCAACAAGGGACAGGGGTGAAACTTACATCTATTATTTACACCGACTAACTCCACACCACCACCGCTTGTCGCATGTTGATCTTCCCAACTTCAACAACGAATAATACTAACATTGCAGGCCGGCTCTGGTTCCCTGAAGCGAGCATCGCCATTGTCGCTATTTCCTTATTCTAAAAAAATGGCTGCTGGTGATCTCATTGATTTCGACATCATCGAAGGGCAAAAGGAGAATATTCAGTCCTTGCCCGGAGGACGATCGGCTAGGAAGCTCGTCGAAGCCTTTTCACCATCCCCTCTACACAAACTCTCAACACCTACACCAACAGACACTAAGAATATCAACGACTGTATCAGAGCCGAGTACGAGGAAGAGATTGCAAACATTTCCGAGTCTGACGACCCTTTGGATGTCTTTGACCGATACGTCCGATGGACCTTTGATGCGTATCCCTCTGCGCAAGCTACACCTCAATCGCAATTGCACACTCTACTTGAGCGTGCCACCAAGTCTTTCATTGGCTCAGCGCAATACAAGAACGACCCCAGATATCTGAAGTTGTGGCTTTTATACATCAAGTTCTTCTCCGACTCTCCTCGAGAGACATACGTTTTCCTATCGCGCCATAGCATCGGCGAAGGACTAGCCTTATTCTACGAGGAGTACGCCGCTTGGTTGGAAAGCGCTGGCCGTTGGGCACAGGCTGAGGAGGTATACAAACTAGGCATTGAGCGTGAGGCGAGACCGGTGCAGAGATTGGTTCGCAAATTCGGCGAATTTGAGCAGAGGCGGGCGCAAGATCCTGCCGCAGCGGACGCTCCGTCATCGCCAGCGCTACCGACAGTTCGACCAGCACTAATGGCTAAAATCGACCCTTACGCTGCTATGGCGCGAGCGCCGGACCCCCAGGCTCCTAGGCCAAACATGGGTCTCGGCGGTCAATCCTCGAAGCCAGGAAAGGCCAAACTAGCTGTTTTCTCAGACGCCGGCTCTGAACCAAGTGCAATGTCAAAGATGGGCGAAGGTGCGAAGGGTTGGGATACAATAGGATCATTGTCGGATCGTAAGAAGGAGAATATGGTGGAGGCAAAGCCCTGGGTGGGAGAGACGTTGACGACGCAAGTGAAGAAGAGTAGCGGGCCAAAGATGGCTGTATTCCGCGATCCTGTAAGTTAATATCTCTAACCCTATGTGGCAATGCCCATTTGTTGATAACAGCAGGACTAATTTATGGCGTTTGCGCGATTGTGTATATTCAGTCTATGGCGAGAATAGCAGAGTCTCATATTGTCATTGCCCCTTCAAAGCACCAAGTGATCGTGAACCCCCACAGTGGTAAAAGAGAGCGCGTCTTTGTTAATCTCGAGGCTATCTATCCAACTCCTGAGGAGCCTGGGACTGAACTCAGTTTCGAAGAATTATGGGCTGCAAATCAAGGTTGGCTTGATGTGTGCTGGGATGACGACGACAGCATTGTAGAGGAGCAAGAGGAATTAACACCCCGAAAACCAGAAGTCGATTTGCTTGGCCACAGGATGGCAGAGAAGTTGATGATTCACCACGACGCCGTAGAGCTCGATGAGAACGGTTTAGTGAAAGATCAGGTCAGGCCAGTAAAAAGCAAAAAGAAGAAAATGATGGAAGTCAACGAAACTCAAATTAGTGAGTCACTATCACCACTATCACTGCTATCCCCGCTATGACCACTATCATCACTCTCGTCACCGACCCTTCTACGCCACATTTTCAGGTTAGGCAACCGCGAAAGATTAAACTCACTAATTCCTTCATAGTTAAAGCAAAACTTGACTCACCATCGGGCCCGAAAATCAAGAAGAAAAGCAACATGTATTCTTCTGAACCGACAATGACAATGCACACTAAGGCAGCGACTAATGAGATCTACGAGCTGTTCAATGCTCCCCTCAAATCTACCAAAGAGGAAAACGAGGAGAGTGGTGACGAAGAGTATCTGACAGATGGCGACTACACTAGTGGTGGAGAGAGCGCCAATACCACCAGACAAATCTCGACAAGTGAAGCTGGTGATGATGAGACGTCTGACGTCAAGAGTGTGAGCGAATGGTCCGATTTCACGGCCCAGAAGCACGTCCCCAAAATTGAAGGTGATGGCGACGATGAACAGGTGGATGGAGAACAAAGCGATTCTGAGGTGTCGGATCTTATCGACACAAAAGATGATGACGAAGAATCCGAAGATTCACCTCCGAGAACTAGGACTAGGTTCATCCCCATTCCACCTGAAGACTACGAAGCACCTACCCGACCGTATAGGGACCCGGCCGAGGTGGCTAACAACCGCCTGCCATTCATGACACCTATCACGGAACGTACAGAATCCTCTCTCGGTCTCGCCACCGCAGCCAAGTACACTATTACCAAAGTTCTTAGTAAGAGAGATAGTCGTGGTGACTTGACTGAAGAGGATGAGGATGAAGATGACGAAGACTTCGGACCGCTGAGTAGCCCTCTACGCGAAGTTCTGAATGAGAATCGTTCACCATTAAAGATCTCACAGCCTCTCCTGAAGAAGCTGAAAGCTGCTACACCCCCTAGTCAACCCAAGGCAAAGAATATACCGAAGGGGCCAATTATCAAGGAGCTGCGATGCAACCCGGTCGATAAGGCTATTCGAGATGAGATCCTTGAATCTATGCACCCTCCGCTTAGCTCATATCCCGGCTTCTACGACCATCGTAATGAGAGATGCGACAAGGGTGCCGAGGTTCGCAAATTCGCTAAAGCTATGGCGAAGGCGGGAGGCAAAAAGGATGGCGACAAGACAGGCACCATTCACTCCCTGCCCGTGCTCGAGTTTCCCGAGATTATAGGAGACTACACTGTCAAGCGAGAACTAGGCGCTGGAGCGTTCGCCCCGGTCTACCTTGTCGAGAACTCGTCGCCGGACTCCGACGATGACGATGAGAACGCACCTAAGGTCGCCATGGGTAAGGGTGCTTTTGCAACAACTAGTCGCAACCACCTCGAAGCTTTGAAGATGGAACAGCCGCCTACGGCTTGGGAGTTTCATATGATGCGTCTCGCCGCCACACGTCTGGGCCCGCAGCACCGCGCGACGGCCTCTATCTCGGCCGCGCACGAACTACACCTGTACCAGGACGAAGGGTTCCTATTCCTCCCCCTCCACCCGCACGGCACCCTCCTAGACGTCGTCAACTTCTTCAGCGAGACCAACAAGGCGCCCATGGACGAGCCGCTCGCCATGTTCTTCAGCATCGAGCTGCTGCGGACGGTCGAGGCGCTGCACTCAAAGCAGATCCTGCACGGGGACCTCAAGCCGGACAACTGCCTGCTGCGGCTCGACGACGGCGGCGCGTCGGCCTCGTCGGCGCTGTCCTGCCAGTGGCGGGCGGACGGGTCGGGCGGCTGGGCGGGCCGCGGCGTGGTGCTGATCGACTTCGGGCGCGGCATCGACATGCGGGCCTTCGACGCGGAGGTGCAGTTCGTCGCGGACTGGCGCACGGACCAGCACGACTGCGCCGAGGTGCGCGAGGGCCGCCCCTGGACCTGGCAGCTCGACTACCACGGCCTCGCCGGCACCATACACACCCTCCTCTTCGGCAAGTACATCGAGACGGCGCGCGCGGCGGACCATCAGAGCGGTCTCGGCACGTCTGCCGGCAGGCGATACCGCGTCCGCGAGAGCTTCAAGCGGTACTGGCAGACGGAGATCTGGGGAGAGTGTTTTGATGTCTTGCTCAATCCGGGGAGTCATGTCGATGCGGAGGATGGACGGCGGATGCCGGTGAATCGCAGCTTGAGGCGCGTCAGGGAGCGCATGGAGAAGTGGCTTGAGGCTAATTGTGAGAAGGGTGTTGGATTGAGGGGCTTGATGGCTAGGGTTGAGGGGATGGCGAGGGCGAGGCGGCATTGATTGGTTATGTGGTATGAATTAATGGATGGATGGATAGGAAATGTGGCCATGAGACTTTGAACGCGTACGTCTGAATTGCATTGTTGGGCGTTGAGGGGGTTAGGGGTTAGGGGTTCGCATTTCTCTCTCACGAGGTTCCGGAACATCATTCGTGGTCGCGGCATGTTTACTACACTTCTGCCGAGTTAGGCAGAAGGCGGTGGCGGCGGTATTCTTTCTACCTTTATCGCCTTTACCCCTTGTTCATACGAAATTTGCAGTCAGGATTATTGCTTTTGTTTACATACCCCCCCATACCAGTAACGCCTTGCCTTCCTTTTTATGAAATCAATAGAGTACAGTCCTATTATGACAAACACACCGTTAGACCTTGTTATGATCAGATTCCACATGATCCCCGTGAAATGTCCTTGACCGTGACGCAATTATCTAGGTAATCACTCGGAATCTTCGTCCTCCGAAGCCTCGGCTTTCTTCTTTCCGCGCTGCGTCTTCTTCTTCGGCGCGGCCTTGGTGGCCTTCTTCGCGTCTTTGGCGCTCTTGCGATCGACCTGGTCCTGGATCTTGTCGCGCTCGGCGGCGCCCTCGGCCTGCAGGCGCTTCTCGAGGGCCTTGAACTGGTCGCCGTCGATGTCCATGCCGATCAGGGACTCGAGCAGCTTGATCTCGTCGGCCCAGACCTGCTTGTCCTCGTAGGTCTTGCCGTCGGCGCCCTTGCGCTCGATGGGCGTCTCGAGGATCATGGGCATGTCGCGGAGGTCGTCGTGGTTGACGATGGCGTGGAAGGCGCGCAGGCCCAGGAAGCCCGTGCCGATGTTCGCGTGCAGGTCCCGGTGCGAGTCCAGCGGCGCCTTGCTGTCGTTCAGGTGGAAGGCTTTGAGGTACTGGCTTCCGACGATCTCGTTGAACTTGTTGAGGAATTGGTTGAAGAGTGAGGGTTCGCGGATGTCGTAGCCGGCGGCGAAGGCGTGGCACTGTGGTTCGTGGTGAGTACTGGCTTTTTTTTTCTTCCCAGGAAAATGGGCGAATGGGTATGTAGATAGACTTAAAAAGGGGATGTACTTACTGTGTCTATACAGACTCCAACTCTGTCCTTATCGTCCACGAGTCGGATGATATTTCTTAGATCCTCGAGTGTGGTGCCGATGACGTTGCCTTGCCCAGCCATGTTCTCAAGTACCGTGATCACGGTTCTCGTCTCCTCATGTGCCTTGTTCAGCTGCTTTACTATACGCGCGATAGCCTCTTCTCTGGGCTCGCCGTTGGTATTTCCCGGGTGGAAATTATACAGCTTGATGCCGAGCGACTCGCAGCGCTTCAAGTCATCCAAGAACGAATTGTACGCCTGCTCCGCCTTCTCCTCATCCGCCGCCGCGAGGTTCACGAGATACGATCCGTGTGGTAGGCAGTGTTTGTGAACCTCGAATTTGTTGCTCTTTGACAGGGTAAGGAATCCGTCGAGGGCATCGGGCGCGATAGGCGGATTTACCCATTTCCGCTGGGACTTTAGGAATAGCGCAAACGCATTTGCACCGATGTGCATAGCGTTTGTAATCGAATTTTGTACACCTAAGGAATTGATGTTAGCTCGGAGCGAGTTTGAACACATAGAGGCATCACGAACCTCCTGCGCTGCTGACGTGCGCGCCAATATACATAGGCTTCTTAAGAGTATCTATAACGGTTCGCTTGGCAAGTTCCACAAGCTCTTCAGCCTTTCCCTTGGCGGTCTTGCGTTTCTTTGCGGCCTTGGGTTCCGGCGCAGCGGGTTCCACGTCATCTTCATCCTCTTCGACCTTTCTCTTTCCAGCTTTGCCTTTCGGCGCAGTGGCAGCGGGCGCCGCGACGGCCTTGCCTCGTCGAGATGACTGACGAGGAGGCATTGTGTGGAAGTTTTTCGCCGCTGCGAGAAAGAATCGACGTGGTTGAAAATAAAGGTGGTATAAACTCTTCATGAAAACCGTAGGATCAAAGTAGAACTGGATATGTAGACCGTGAATTGAGTGCACGCCGACGCGTCCGGACGCGAGAGTCAGTGACTCGTAATCACGTGTGATCAATTAAAGTTTCGAGTTATTATCGATAAGATGACATTTTCTCTCAACCTTATCAACAATTAATAATTAGGTACATAACCCAGAAATGTGACAATTCACATTCGCATACAAGAGCAAACTCGAAACTTGAAACCCACACTAAACCAAGTAGCCGGTAGACGAATCAGGATGACGGATAGCCAATTACCAGTTGAGGTCTCAATTTGCAATCCTGGTGGTGATGATCACTCAGTCCCTTGTCATTGGGTTTCTTGAAACATCGTATGAGAGAGCAGCAATCGAGCACGATGCGGCGCGCTGGCTTTATCCAATCTTATCGCCGTGGCTAGGTCAAACAGTTTTTATGCAAATATAATCCATAATCCATCCATTACATCGATGGGATGGATGATACATTAATGGTTAGTACGTGGGGCAATTAGTAAAGGATGAGCAGGATGAGATACTACTAGTATGAAAAAGACCCGGCGCAATTATATTATTCTGTTTCTATTTACAGCGATATCAAAGCACGTTTCGAGGCTTTCAACTGTCATTTGGAGCAGTATACCTAGGTTGGGAGATGCCGCTCTCCGCACATACGCACGCACGGCCAACGATAACAAACACGGCCAACTGCGGTAGAGACAGAAATTGCAAGAGATCACACGATCAATTACGAATTCGGGTAAAGTCCCTGGTGGTCGGGAATTTAGAGTCGTCTTGCCCAGCCGACGGACGTTCGCCTAGCAATTTGAAATGCATTTTCTTGCAGCGCCGAGGGAAAGCTTAGCAGAAGCTTTAGCAGCTTAGCAGCATCTCGACGAAATGATGGAACATTGGAATCTCTCTTTGGCCAACCATAGCTCGAGACGTTTTCTTCCGGCCCAGCCTGCAGCTGTTTACTAGGCTGCTAGGGCGGGGGTCCAAAGCTAGTAGTCCCTCTTGCAGAATCTTCCTCCCTCGGCAGGTCGAGTTCCAAGGTTCGCCTTCGGTGACCACGGCTACCATGATCCTGGCTTACAGCATCTCGAACGAACGTCGGCCCGCATGGTCCCTGTCTTAGCCCCATGTATCCCCACGGCTTATTTGCTACATGAGGTACTTCTGACGTTCGGAAAGGATTAGCTTCCCCAGTCTCTTGCAGGGGGCATCTACCGAATCATCTGGCCCAGGGGGAAAACGTGCTGGATTTACCACATCTGATTGGTTAATCTTTCGTCGTCAAGAGATCTGGAAGATACGACCAAAGTCAAAGTCTAACATCCAACATATTGGTTTCTGCAAGCCGGATATGACTTTACGTCAAATGGAGACAATCTCGTCACGATTCGAACTTCCCTTTTGAGATTCTGCTCAATCGGATTGTCTTTCATCTGAACATTCGTATGCTTTTTCCAGATCGACAATTACTTGCTCATGGAATTCGTAACAGACTAGACTTGGCTCTCTTGGCCATAGCACTGACTGGTCTCAACTTATAGAACATGTCTATCTGCGTCAATGATTAGCCCTCCCGTCTGCTCGCGTGAGGTACTACTGTCCAAAGCTTCTGACGCCGCCAGGTTATGCACCCCCGTTAGCCAAGAACATTCTAAGACCCGCACTCATGGATGGTACGTAAGGAAGTCGGTCCCCTAAACAACTTTTGTGGGGGATCTCTTGCCAGTCAGAAGCCAAGAATCCCCATCGTGCCCCGAGTACAACCTAGTCCACTAACCTAGCAAGCCTAGTACTCCTAGTTTGTACCGAATCGTAGCATCTCTGATCGATGGAAGCGTATACCTTTCGTGAGGTAGCTTGCCACGGCCAGTCCGTAGTAATTTTTCCCGCTTAGTCTATTGTTCGTTTATATATCTGTGTTGGTCATTCTCGAACACAATTCCTCTTCTTTTTTCATATCCTTTAACCACGCCATACCAGCGGCAGAGGCATCATCTTATACGTTTCGTACATAAGTGGCTACGGAGGAGCTACACAACGCCCGTGCCGCGTGCCTATCGCTTAATATAACCTTCCTTTCAACAAACAAACCCTAGGAAACGGTACACCAAGACAGCCTTATCCGTACCCTTTCCCCTAAAGCCAAGACGGCCCTGTCAAGCATTACCAACTTTGTTGTTATATCCTATCACAATAGACTTTGATCGCAACCTATCAGAATAAGCTTGTGTTGATCCTTTCGAGAGCCGATCGGCCTCCTCATCCTTATTTCCTCTTTTCCATCCGCTCTCCCTATATCACTACCTATCCCCATACAAAGCCATGGCGAACCTCCTTCGTCGCCACCACGAACATGATCCCCCGATAGGGGAGATCCCCGTTCCTCACGGCCCCGAGACGGGTGATGAACACCAACACTACCCTCGAAGGAACTCGACCAGTTATGCTACCGACTACGAGAGACAGATTTTCTCGCATCTAACGCATCCCGACGACTCGTACACGGATGATGGCGTCTACTGGGCTGATCTGCCTTTCTGGAAGCGCTTTTCTTTCGTCAGTGCGGTGGACCGGGCTGAAAGTGCCGCCGAAGCCAAAGGTATCTGGGCTATGGTCAAGGAAGACCCTCTTAGCCCGGTCTCTTGGTACTTCAGAAACGCCATTCTCCCTGGTGCTGGTCTCGGCCTAGAAGGTTACGTCCTTTTTTCCATTGGCAATCTCGAACCTCTGTTTGAGGCCGCATGGCCGAGCTGCTGGAAGTCAGGTGCGCCCGATTGTAGCACTAATTGGGTGGCCTCTGTAACCTACCTTGAGATTATTGGTATTATGGTCGGTCAAGTGGCGGTCGGAGTAAGTCTTTTTAATACCATTTCTCCAAGAGTCGGAAATAGCGCAATGTTACTGACAATTTCTTCGTATAGATTATTGGCGACTGGATCGGTCGACGATGGGGTTTGATACAAGATGCCCTGGTCATGTTTCTCGGTCTTCTCATGTTGACCGGATCGTGGGGAACAACACTCCAAGGTTGGGTCATCATGTACGCCTGGTCTTTGTTCGTCTACGGCATCGGAGTCGGCGGCGAGTATCCCATCACAGCTACTTCGTCGATGGAAAATGCCGTCACCGCCGGTAGATTGTCGACCAGAGATGATCGCCTCCACCGTGGTCGCAAAGTCACCATGGCATTCTTGATGCAAGGTTGGGGTCAATTTGTCAACCAAGTCGTCCTCATTGTCCTCTTGGTGATCTTCAACCGAGGTCACGGCAACCCCCCGTACTCCGTAACCGCTGCTCAGTACGCCTTCCGTCTGTCCTTCGCCTTCCCAGCTATCGGCACTTTATGGCTGGCCTATTACCGTACTTGGCGCATGAAGTCTGCCAGCAAGCAGCTCGAGAAAGCCAAGAAGAAGTCGAAGGTAACGGGATACGATGTTCGATCTCTCAAGTTGACATTTAGCAACTTCGGTGGACGTCTATTCGCCACTGCCGGTGGATGGTTCTGCAACGACGTCTTTTTCTACGGCAACAAGCTCTTCCAAGGTCAATTCATCAAGGTCATTTCTGACAACCCTAGCTCGATTATGACAACGTGGACATGGAACTTGGTCAACGTCGTCGTTTCGCTCGCCGGCTACTACATGGCTTCCATGCTAATTGACAACAAGATGTATGGAAGGAAAGCTATGCAACAGGTTAGTGGTCTCTTTCCACTCCTTCACTCTTCGTGTGACTGACATGCAATTAGGTCGGCTTCTTCATGTGCTTTGTCATGTTCGTAGTACCCGCATTCAAGTACGACTACTACATCAGCTCGGCAGGCATCCATGCATTCCAGGCGATGTACTTCTTGTCATCCTTCTTCAATCAGTTCGGCCCCAACTCCGTCACCTTCCTCGTCGCTGGAGAGGTATACCCCACTCAGATTCGAGCCAGCGCCCACGGATTTTCCGCAATGATTGGAAAGGCCGGTGCTCTCTTGGCTTCAGTTTTGTACAACTACATCGATACCAGGACCAAGTTCCACGTTGTACCCTGGTTTGGTCTTGCGGGTATGGTCATCACATACATCTGGCTCCCCGACACTACCGGTCTCGATCTCAAGGAACAGGAGCGCCGATGGCAATACATCCTTGAAGGCCGCGACAGCGAGTACCATGGCATCGCTATCCACCCGGCGCATCTTTCCCTCTGGGAACGATGGATGGGCGTCGGAAAGAACTACCACCCCGACTTGGACATGAAGGCCAAGATTAGGGATATGCGAACCGACTGGGAGGAGCGAGAGGCCGCCAGAGCTGGCAGCGACGTGGAATCAGTGACTCCTATTGACGATGACGAAGAATACACAAATGATATCCACGACTACTTCAGGGGCACTGTCACCGGTAGCATCAACTCTCTGAAAGGAGAGAAGTCAAAGGGAGTTGACAGGACTTCGGGCAATGCGCCCAGTGATAGAACACTCGAAGAACCGACTTTAGACGGAAATAAGGAGTCTACAACGGTATCGTAAGAGTGTTCATGTTGACTAGCGCTTCAAATTCGTGGGAGTGGATTTCTGGACTTCTAATTAGACTACCTATGGCTTCTCACCGGGCTCGCATGAGGTTAAGGGTGGCGGAACGTGATTGACGTGAGGATTGGGCGGGACTTAAACATGATACACCGAATTGTTTACCTATATAGTTGATAGGTAGCATGGCGTTACGGTTGAGAGGATTGGACTGTGACAAAGAACAGTCGTTGATTTTGATTTCATACATTGACAAATCATTACATAATAAAATAGCTATATATCCCGATTAGTGAAAAGTATTGTCTTGGTGCGATTTCTGGCTGATGAAGATGGGTTAATTACATAGTGGTGAATAGTCAAGTGACAGCGCGTAAATGAGGGACGCGTCTAAAAGTGGGTGTCGTTGTAATCCGTACCGACCGAGGGGCAAAAAAAATCCCTTTTGGTAGGTTAATCTCTTAGTATCCTAAAATAGACATTCACATCGATGACGAGATTTGCAACAAATTGGAAAGAGCGAAAGAGCGAAATAACATCTCTTTAGATCCATGGCGAAAGCCTACCGCGACTAGTAAAAGACGTATATATGATGGAAAGAGCATATTGCTCAATTAGTGATTTCATTTAGTTGAAATTATTATTCAGTCGCCAATCATCGTCAACTTCTTTCTTTTAACACCAATTGCTCAAATCAACTTTTAACCACCGAATACGTACGACACGCCCAATTGATGTCGATGACCTCTACACGATGCCTCCCCCGACAACAGTCAAGTCGATAACCCCTCGTCGAAAACAAACCAAACTAAACTTCGGCCCCTCGGCGAATGGCAAGGGCGCAAACGCAAAGACGCCGTCCGCGAAGAAGCCAAATGGAAACATTCTTAATTTCTTCCAGAAGGTCGAAATAGAGGAACAGTTGTTTTGTGCTGGTCCTGTGGATAAATTGGCCCCCCAACCGAATAGTACGGTGCCCTCTCCGCCGAAAGACGACGAGGATCTGTTCGGGGACAATGATATTGACAAAGATGCCGCGAACGAAACGAGATCGCCGAAGCGGAGGAAGTTGAGTCACAATAACGACGATATTGTACCGCATAGCTTGGAGGATGTGCGCAGTGATGGGCCGGAGCAGGCAAGGTCATCGCCGCCGGGACGGACGCGAACGAAGCCAGCTCGAGGGAGGGTTCCGTTTTTGATTGATTCCGACAGCGAAGATGACGAGGTGGAAACCTCGCCATTGAAGGACGGCATGGATGACGAAACACATGCTACTTTAGCAGAGGTTGAGAATATAATAGAAAAATCAGAAGTCGTTCCCGTGCCCAAGTTACCCGTCGACGAAAGTTGCCCGGAAATACCTGAAATCCCGCCGTTGAACCAAGAAGAATCCATTTACGAAGAATTCAGAGATCTCGAGGATATGGAGGGACTCTTCGGAGACGTCGACGAGTTTGACGATGGCGAAGAATTTCGGGAAAGGCGTTACATGGAAGAGCAAGCGAGGCTCGAAGCCGAGGAAGCAGGAAACTATACTTCTGATGGAATGGCTGACGAGTTTAATGCTGTCGAAGGAATCGTAGAAAGTTGCCCGCTGTGCAATGCTAGTCTAACTGGTCTCTCTTCCGACCAAGCAGCAGTTCATGTGAACGCTTGTTTAGACGGTAACCCATTACCCCTTCCAAAGACGGGAGAGCCGCCGCCGCCTGATACAGTCGATGCTCCAGAAATCAGTAAGCGCTTCGCAAAGGCCGCCGTACCACGACCCGGCCAAGCCAATCCTATCAAGCTAGGGAACACGGCAAGCCAGCCAACCTCAGCCTTCAGCAAGTTGATGTCAGGACATGCGGAGGATGCGGCGTGGGCTTCCGCCGCTGCTGCCGAAAATGCGTCCCGAGGGAAACCTGCGTATAAACGGACATGTCCTTTTTACAAGATCATGCCCGGGCTTTCCATCTGCGTCGATGCGTTTCGGTATGGCGCCGTAAAAGACTGCAATGCTTATTTCCTCAGTCATTTCCACAGTGATCACTATATCGGCTTAACGGCCAATTGGTCCCACGGGCCTATTTACTGCAGCAAAGTAACAGGAAGTCTTGTCAAAAGCCAACTCCGGACTGCGGCGAAATGGGTCAAGGAGCTTGAGTTCGAAGAGACGGTTGAGGTTCCCGGGACCGAAGGAGTAACGGTCACTATGATACCAGCCAACCACTGTCCGGGCAGTTCATTATTCCTGTTCGAGAAGACGATCGGGAAAGGGCCCAGAAAGCAGCGAATTCTTCACTGCGGCGATTTTCGAGCTTGCCAAGCACATATCAGTCATTCACTGCTAAGGCCCGATATAGTTGATACCATCTCGGGCAAAATAAAGCAGCAAAAGATCGATGTCTGTTACTTAGACACTACATACCTTAATCCTCGCTATTCTTTCCCTCCGCAAGACGATGTTATCTCAGCTTGTGCCGAATTCTGCAAATCAATATCTGGAGACCCGGACGGAGTCTTGAATGGGTTATCGCATGAGAAGGGCGCAGTTAGCAAGTTCTTCCATAAGATAGGGGAGAACAGTTCCTCATCTGCCATCGCCAAAGCCGAGGGTAAGACTCGGAAGAACCGGCTCCTTATAATCTGCGGCACGTACTCCATTGGCAAGGAGCGCATATGCAAGGCCATCGCGCAAGCACTAGGGACCAAGATCTTCGCGTCGCCGGCCAAGATCAAGATTTGCAAGCAGCTAGGCGACCCGGAACTCGCGGCGCTCATGACGTCCAACCCGTTCGAGGCTCAGGTCCACATGCAGTCGCTAGCGGAGATCCGCGCGGAGACGCTCCAGGAGTACCTCAACGGCTACAAGGGCCACTTCGACCGCATCATCGGCTTCCGTCCCAGCGGCTGGAATTACAGGGGAGGCGCCAGCACGGCCAAGAACGTTCCCGCCAACACGTCGCCCATGAGCGTGCCGACGACGGGGATCCTGCACGGGCCGGCGTGGCGGACGCGGTTCTCGAGCAAGGACCTGGTGGCCCAGAGGGGCAGCACGAGCCAGGCCATGTGCTTCGGCGTGCCGTACTCGGAGCACAGCAGCTTCCGCGAGCTGGCGCTGTTCCTGATGACGCTGCGGATCGAGAAGGTGGTGCCCACGGTCAACGTGGGCAGCGAGCCTAGTCGCAGGAGGATGAAGGGGTGGATAGACCGCTGGCTGGCGGAGCGGAGGAAAGGGGGTGTTGTGAGGGTGCTTGAGGGGGAGAATGAGGGTGAGGGTGTGGGTGAGAAAGAGCTTTGGGAAGGTAAGGATGGGAGGGGTGGGGGTGTTTGGTGGTAGGGTAGGATATTGGGTATGGCGTGCTGTGTTTAGAAGAATGGGGCTTGGGATAGAGTTCTAAGTGCTCGGTATATATCGTTGCATGAGCTGTCTATATAAGATTTTATGAACATACCCTCTGGTTTTCGCTGTGAATGTTACGCTGAGATGAGTGTAGTATGTAGGTATGTCTTCGACGGCCAGAGAGCCTCTGGTTAGGACCATCTTGAGTCGGAGCCCACCCTAGTAGGACTCAAAGATGGTAATTCGACATCGATTGTTAAATCTACATATTTGGTGTGTTATATATTTATTCTTAGCAAAGGTCACTTGGTGATTGGGGATACGATCGCTTGGGTTAAGGGGTTAGATATTGGCTAAGCAAAACTAGTAAATTCGTATCGATCATTTCACTCAGACTTGGAGTCTACGAGAGCGCACAGAAGTCTAGCTTAAGAGTATCGAATCTGTATCATGCAAGGACGGGTTGGTCATTCATTATGAATTGGTGCCTATCGTCTAACGATGTATCATGGCGACATACGTATGCGTCTTCGGGGGTCTGCCGAAAGCCTAAGGAGTGCTATTTTTATTTATTCGTCATGATAATGAAAATAGCAGCGCGAGTATCCTTTTCTTAAGGACAATTATCGTAGACCCCTTCAAATTGTCGGTTCCGGGTTGCTGAAATTACTACGTCGCAAACGTTGCTTGCCAGTCCTGCTCCGTTTTGCGTCCCTCGAGGGCAGCATCCTCACTTCCCTTTTCCAGCTTGCTGCGCGGCTTCTGTTGCGGATTGTTAGTACTGCTCGTGTGGTCATATAGAAAGAGGATGTGGTGTCCTTCCGGACACCTAAGAAATAAAGGGGGAAGGGATGAGGGATGAGTACGAACCTCTTCTCGTGGCATCCTCCAGTAGCGCGATGTCCACGGCATTGGCAGGGAGGTGGACATATCTTACGACCGAGCCTCGGATGAAGACATTCTTGACAGAGCTCTAGAGTCGCGTTCATTAGCAAAAAACAGGAAATAGCTTGCCACATTAACTTTCTTGCTAGGACCTGGGATGGAGAAGAGAGACAAGGGAAAGATAGATATGAGGCAGTCGAATCACCATTGACAGACTCTGAGGTCTACTCCTTCCTGACCAGAAGTATGTATAACCAAGGAAAAAAAAACAAAGATAGATTAGAAAATGAGAGACAACGGTGCCTTTATGAACATAGAAACCATCCAAAGAGAACTAGCTCCCAACCTGCGACTCACCAGATGCGGGTACTTGATCTCTTCGACGACTTGTATATCATCGAGCTTGATGTTGAGATACTGATCGACGCTCTTGAGCGTGCCTCGGATCTGGATGTCGTTCTTGAGCTCGACCGTAACCTCGTGGTCGATGAGGGTCTTGAAGAAACTATCTCCCATCCACGTTAGCCAATTTCTATCCCTTTCCGCCATTTCCTAGCCTGCATCTCCTCCTCTTCGCGTCTCCAGCTCTTCTGTGCATCATCTCTAGGCATTTCTGATATCCCCAAGCCCCCAATAAGCAAGCTTCAGGGCATGGAGACAGTTTTTACACATGACCCCCATGTTCCATGGTTCACGTGACAAAGCACGAGGTGCCGTGCCCGTCCTTGTGCATGAACAAATGAAGCAGCGTATGCCACCGTCCCCTCCTCAAACGTAGCTGCGGCATTCCAACCACCAGATTGTAATTCCAACGGTTGGATTTGCTTGCTTCCAATATCATAATCGCCTCGGTGGGATATCCATCAAACGATGTCGTTCTCGAAGCGAAGCCGTGCAGGAAAAAAAGCAAACAAATGCGACTGAAAAACGTACCTGAAGAAAAGCATCTTGGAAATTGTTACGTCTCTGGAGTCAGACGAAAACCTAGCATTCCAAATGGGTTGGATGCAACTGTGATGCCCGATTCGTTGTTTTTCTAACGAATGTGTCAAGCTAAAGATGTATAAGTAAAAATGGGACCTGGTCTTAGTTTACCCAAGTACGTGAAAGAAATCACGTGACAGATACAATTCACTGTGTCAAACTTAAAGCCCAACTGCTGATGAATTTTAAATCTGGTACCTAATCATAAAATTACAGTCACGATCGGAGAAAATCTCAAGCAATTCGGTCAAACAAGTTCATTTTTTCACATAAAATATAACACGCGAATATGAGTGGTATGAAGAAGCGCAAGTTTGTTGTACTTCATAATTCCTATGTCTCTGTTCCCTGTATCCGGCGACGGATAACCATTGGAAATCTATGTCCATCCCGTTATCCCAGCGTGGGGGTCCAGGTTTTCGGCAAGATTCTTTTTTCTCCCAATCTTGGCAGGGTTATTTCATCATTGCTTTCTGTTTTCTTTTTTCCCCTCTCTGCATTTGGTCTCCTTAAAATCAACGCCACCCCTTTCGCCTGACGCATCTTTGGTAGCCTGACCACTTGTGTGCGTGTCCGAGCAAAAATACATCCGCCCTAAAGTAGATGACACGAAAATAAAACGAAGAAAGGACGCGGGAGAAAAGTAAAGTAATGGCAACCAGATCTGGCAAATAAGGGGGGTATCCATCCGTTCATCTCAATTCATTCCATGCAATCTTCCTCCCGTCAAACTTCCCTAGACCGTATCCCTTCCCACCGAATGTGCCAGTATGCAATCGCATTAATAAAAAAAAAGTGAAAAAAGGGGAAAAAAGAAGGTATCGCGTGGGCGATGGCGAAACGGTTTAGGGAAAATCGAAAGCGAGTGTCCTGACGCCCCTGCACATTCCACTGGCGTACTTACGGAACCTTCGCGCAAGCCGGCTACCGAGAACAAAAGATCAACGCACTTATCCCCTCCCCCAAATCGACTCCCTACTGTGCTCCCATCCCCCAAGATTGGATACGGGAAGGTATCAGTAGTAAGAGTCGGGTGTATCGTAACGTCGTAACGGCTCACAAAATAAAGTGGTATAGTATGGTATGGTATGGTATGTGTATGACTTATAGCTTCCTTCAGCTATCATCTTCGGCATCATCATCTTCGTCGTCGTCAGGTGTCGCCGGCTCCATCTTTGCCTTCTTATTCGGCAGCGTGGAATTGGTCTCCGATTTCCTCTTCGATCCAGTCTTGACACTTGCTGCCTCTACCGCACCGCCGTCCTTATCATCACCTGCGCCTTTATTCCTCTCGATCTCGGCGACCTCTTCTGCAGTTAAGAATCGACCACCGGGACCTCGAGGTCTGCGCATCGCGTGATTATGTCGCGATTCGTGAAGGTAAGGTTTCCTCCCCTTACTCGTCAGCCTCAGGGCTTCCTCTAGGCGTTGGCGGGCCACTCTCCTCTTGAGGATACGATGGAATTGCTTCGCGTTGACGTAGAGGGGTGACTCTTCGGCACCAGCCGTCATCTCAGGTGATTGAGGCGGTGGCATCGATTGCGTCGGCGGCATCGGCGGAGGTGCAACAGCAGAGCGGGCACCGGCATGATTCATCATGGGCGCGTTCGGAACGCCTGGGCTTGTGACCTGGCTCAGGCGCCGTCCCGGTAGCTGGTTTACGTTGTTTAGTTGTTGAGGTGATCGAGGGTCGCGCGAGTCCTTCTTTCCCCCGGGCGTCATCCTCGGTGAATTTTGGGGCAGGCTAGGATCTGAAGGCATGTAGCCTGAATAACCGGTGCCGCCGGCCGCGGCAGCAGTCGCGGCCATAGCAGCCGCCTGGATCTGAGGTACACCGTAGTGCATCCCCTGCTGGGGTACTCCGTACTGAGTTTGGTACATGTTGTGTCCTTGTCCTGGAGTCGAGGTTTGGTGTTGAGATGGTAAAATTGGCGAGGTTTGGACGCCGTGTTGGTGTATGCTGTGGCTTGTGGGAGATGTGATGTTGTTACCAGCACCAGAATTCGTGTAACCAGAATGCGCCGTCTGTGGTGGTTGCTGGTATTGCGCGTAGTCCATCATTATCGGGGACAGTCAGCGCGCAGGGCGGCGGGGATTTTGCAATACCCAAAGGTTGATGTCTCTTGTTGCGATGCGAAATCGAATCAGAGACAAGCGGGTAAGTCGAACAAGGAAATCTGTTGGCCACTTAGGATAATAGTAGTGGTACAAGTTCTTGCTGAGATGATGAATTAAAGACCGTGCAAAGCTTGTCCTCGGGTTGCTTGACGTCCTTGAGATAAAAGGCTGTAAGGTTGGCTGCAGTTGGGCATACGCGTTGGGATTGTCCTTGGTCACTTAGGTAGCCGCGAAGTAGGCTGGTTGTGCATCCAATCTATTGGATATGCGTGGATGAGCTGGCACTGGGTGATGTGGTAGGTGCACGCAGGGTCGCACTAGGGCATATGCAAAAACGAATGTATCTCGCGGGGTGGGATCAGGATAGTTCAGATCCCAAAAAGAGGCGGAACTTGAGCAACCACGTGAGAATCTGGGGATACCTGAGCCGCCGTGAGGCTATTCAGTTCGACAGTGAGCCTATGGCAAATTGTCTTCTGCGGGAGCGGGTAGCCTAGCGAAACAGCTCGAGGTCGTTCTCAAGGCCTATTCGCAATGGGCTATTTGATTGTGGAGATCTACCCAACCAGAGGTATTAGATTCGCTATTTGTTAAGTATAAGGGAAGCTCGGATGATGGGAGGGGGGGTGGAAGGGGGGTGAGAAATCCGTCTTTTTTTTTTCGCGCTGGGCCACCACTTGATGCGCTGGCATGCATGACGGAATATGCACAAGCTTGGGCCCCACCCTGTCGACCAGCTCACACAGAGCGACAAGGAGATCCAACTCCATTGCCCAGAAGTGGCGCAAGGCAAAGGCTGCCCGATGCTAGCTATACCTTGCGAGGTAGATGTAGAGCTAGGTTATCGAAGCTCTATGCGGAGCTCGAGAATCTCAAGGCTGCATTGCGGGCGATTGGCCAAGAAGCATATGCATTCATCGGACACATGCGACGTACATATATGTAGCTTGTTTGGGATGAGGCAGCGGACTACTAGACGCACAGGCACACAAGCACACCAAAGGTAAGGAAAAGGTGTGCGGGAGAAAAGGGACAAGGAAGGAAAAGGAAAGGGCCGAGACGAGTTACGCAAGAATAGATGGGTTGGTGCCTTGAGTGGATGAGTTTGCGACGTGAAGAGGGTATACCCGATCGTCAAGCCTTGCCTTAGTGGGAAAGAGAAGAGATGGTGCGCTGCGGTGTAGGTGGTGTGCGGATGTATCGTTGCAGACGGGCAGATGGGGGATAAAGGGAAAAGCGACGTAGGTGTGTGCAAATGTAGCAAGAGTACCGAATAGATACATACCTCTTTTTGGCAGGTTCCCGAATACTTGGGTTCACTTGCGTAGGCGTGCCGGACTGATGGGACTAGTCGCGTCTTTTTATCATGAAGGAATGTTAGTAGACTGATTCTAGAAAGATAGAAAAAGAAAAACGAGGGAATTCCACGAATTAGGCGAGGAGTGCAACTAACAGCATGCCAGTGAAAGAGAGGAAGGGATGCGATATTAGATATTGACAAACAGGTGCATCTGAGGGATCGATGTACCATCCTGGGGTAGAGCTTGCGACAACGCAATTAGATGAGAATAGCTGGGTGTACCTATATGCCGGGATTGAGGTGGCTCTGGAGGGGGCTATTTGTGTAGGAGGAATCTGGGCCAGCACCTGGGCACAGCCCGGTGTGAAAGAGAACGAGTGCTGTATGGGATGTATGATGTAGGCTGTAGGCTGTAGGCTGTGGGATGCATGATGTACGTACGGCAAGTAACTCACCAAGGAATAAAGGGCAGATACTAATGACGCGCCTCGAAATCTCTCTTCGACCGAGGAGGTTTCCGAGACTAGGGCGCGAACAAGGACGACGATTGCACTCTGATTGAACAGAGGAGATCTCTATGAACCGTTGTCCGCAGATGGGTTCAATCACCTGATGGGCTAATAGAGCCAATGACAACAATGAAGATAGTCCTATTGACTATGATAGGTCTCCGTGACTGTTCGCGAAGAGGTTAGTTTTATGGTAGGCACCGACGAGCTCGATGATTTGCTAGAATCGGGGTGGATTTCTTGTCGCCTGTTTGCGCTGGAGCGCTTACTGGCCAGATTTATTTTCCTAGGCGTTCGCGTTTCCCCATTCGACGAAAGTTATAGATTGGAAGAAGGGATATGAGATTGAAACAGGTTATGGGGTAGATAGATGCTCCTCCCATGCCATGCTTATAAGAAAAGACAAAGGGTTGAAGATAATAGGCGTATAGTAGTTGAGACGAGAGACAATGCGAGAGCCATACATACCTCAAGATAACTCAAGTCTTGCGACGGTTGTAATATTTTTTAAACTAACTCCAAGGCGGTATAGGTCCTTAATAACGCGACTTACTGCCTTTGTGTGCGCAACACAAGGAGTATGGACTAGAGGGACTAGAGTAGGATATAGATGGTTAAAGGTGGTGCAGTCGCACACACGAAGAGTCAAGTATCGTTTGCGCGTAACTCAACGGTAGCGCGGTGGCAGCCGACGATGAGTATGTTGATACTTGATACTCGATGCGTCGATGCGATAGGCGTAGGCGCCTATGCAGCAGTAACAGGAATTGACGTATGTCGCGTTGTGCTTGTCCTTGTGCTCCGGTGCTTGTACCTGGACGCTGGATCTTCAGGTGACCGGAAGACTGTGAGTGGACGAAAAGAATTGAAAGGGTTCCAGTCAGCCCAGATAATGCGGAGCGGATAAATGTTGGACAAGATGAGTATAAAGTTGGTAAGGTTATAATGAAAATTAAACCAGGGCTCCTAAGGGCTCCAGAATGGACAGAAGGGCCAGAAGGGGCAGAGGGGGCAGAGGAGGCTTGATTTGATTCGATGTTTTAGAAAGAGACTTTCTGGCAGACTGGGTGCTGTTTGGATGAAAAAAAGGACCAGAGCGTGGGAGGAAAGGCAATTGATTCGATGGTTTTTTTTAACAAGTGGTGGACCAAGGAGGGCAAGAGCGGATTGATTGGACTGATTGGTAGAGAAATGGGCAAGAGGCGAGTAAAAATTGAGGGAAGTGCGAGCTGCCCTTTGATGGGGGGTTCCAGAGGTCCCGACGTTTTAATGGGGCTACATGGGCCTACATTTGTGACTAATCAGCTGCTATGTTGAAATCTTCGATGTGGATAGAAGTGGGTACGGTGCGGGTCAATTTATGGACCAATCCTGGCTAATCCTGACCAACCGTCCCGCTTTTGTGCCAGCGTAGGGATAGACACAACTGTGATTGCAGCATGATCCCTGTTTCTGCTGAAAATTTCTGTGGCGGCTGGGGCTGGTGGTTGAAGCCGGGTCGTTTCGCTTTCTTTCGCTGCTTTTGTCTTTCGAATTCGCATTTCCACAGTACGATACAATACAATATCTATTCTAGGTATGTACAAATAATTTGACAATTTTGCAACCTTTAATTTAACTCCCAAATCTAACATCGAAACTAACTTGTTTTCATCACATTTCGAATGTACATACTTGCCTAGTATGTCAGCTTCATATAATCTCGTCTTGTGATTGCAAGGGGGGCGAGGTCTGATATCCTTTCTCATACAATCTCGATGCACGAGGTAATACGACCTACATAATCAACAGCCGTTTTTCATGCGTGTTAGAAGAAATCATTGCATTGCGCGGGAACTACCTAAGGATACCTAAACGGTGACAAATGCATTCTGCTAACCTGCCGGACCGGTGGCTGGGCCCTAGATGTACATACATACATACGTATGTATGGTATCTGTATGTTTTTCTCCAGCCCCCCTCCTCCCGAGATCTGTTGTTACGTAGTGTAAGTCCGCTTGACGTGTCAGCGTCCTTCCATTTTCAAAATGACGGGTAGAGAATCATGTTTTGACAGGGGTATGATGATGCTTCTATCTCTCTTCCAGGTCTCCCAAGTCTCCCCCGCGCGCTACTTCATATGACATAGTACAGGAGAAACAACACCCAAGAGCTTTAACAAAAGTCCCTAATCTTGATTATGTATACTACATATAATACCAGATGCTACATATCAGCCATATGCAGCTATAGCTACAGATGGTGATGGTGAGATTCAGCGGGGTTTGGGCTGATCATGGTAACTTTCGGCTTTACCAAGGAACCAAGGATAGATGCCGGTCGGTGGGACGCTCAACGGCGGCAGACCAAACTCACTCAGGCCTGTCAGGCCCTTGAGAGAACCGCAATCTCTCCCTTTGATTATTCGAAATTCGGTAATAAACCTCGTCAGCGGCTAGCCCTTCTAGCTCTTACAGAACACATCCTTCGAGCTACGCGCAATTTTGAGCTCGGCGCAAAAAAGGTGATGGCCCTTACATCGAAAATCGCTCTCGCGATTCTCATCACTCCCCCAGATCGACACCAGCATGACGGATGATCACTGTGGCGTGTGGCAACTACTGTTGTTATTTATGCTAAGGTGCTTAGGTGCTTAGGTGCTAAGATGCTAAGATGCTAAGGATCTATCCCAGACCCGGGCCTATGTGCATACTTACGCGCTACTTGAATACGGTCGTAAGACGAGAGGAAGCCGAGGAAGAAGCTTGGCTGACAACACGATGCTCTAGACCAAGATTGTCCAAGTGAAAAAGCACCCCAAGTCTAATTTTAGGACACTTCCGCATTCAGCATCCGCGCAACGCGTGATTTGCGCATGTCGGGGTATCTGAGTACTGTATTATGAATTATGATAGAGACCGTCAGTGCTTGTGCTCACTTGTTTACCTACCCTATTTCAACTCCCTAGTTTTACACGTCACGGAGAGCCTGGGCCCGCACGACCCGGTTCGGCAGCAAAAGCAGGTAGTTCGGAAGTACTGTGAGAAGGGATATTCTCTTAGGCGGCTCCAATACTATTACTACTACTAGTATGTACTGCATGTCAGCAATCACAGTGCGGTATTCTGCCACACAAACGGAGGCACTGTGAAACTAGCACACCCAGAGACACACACACAGTCTTTCCGCCTGTTGGTGGGTGCATCATTCTGACGGTGAGCGAAGAGGCGGCGGGGCTCATTCCCGTTCTGCTCAGGCATCACGTCCGTTTCGGCCTCTTGGGCTTGGTGCTCCGGATCGCATTGAGTATAGAAAAAGTCGGTGTAACGAGACTGTGCAGTAGCTTACTTCAGACCGAGTTCCCTAGAATAGCCATTATCGACTGTTGAAGGCGATGTTTGTCGTCACTAGCTATAAAAAGAGTGATAAGAGCCCCATGAAAAGAAGGCGGTAAACCGGCATTCTTAGCAACGTTAGCAAGGGTATTACGGTAAGACTCGACGATAACTTGATTCGCGACGATCTATCGCTGTGACTGGTTGGAAATTCGGCTTTGTATGAATTTTGTGACTGGTCTAGAATATGTCTTGGATATTCCCTTTCGGAGCACCTTAGTGGACCATTTTACGTCCGCTACTAAAGTACGAGAGTGGATCTCGTGGGCTTATGAGCTTGGGGAGACGCCCAAAAAAATCCACGAGGGATTTGCTCAGCCGCGTAATATGTATGTTGAGAGTCGAGACAAGCACCGAATATCCACCAACAAACCCCGTCGCAGCTTCGGGACGAACCTAGATGTAGCAGACACTGGTTCGTATTTGTGGCTGCGGCACAGAAAGACCCCATCGTCAACCATTGGTTTTCCAACGAAGGTTGTCACATGCGAAGCCAGTATATTGGGATTGATCCGCGCCTTTAGCGTATTCATACCTTATCTAAGTAGACAGGTTTGAAGCTCACGTCGCGATGCTTACCAGTATAGAGTAAACATCAGGCCTATTTGCTCCGTCCTCTGGCCATGTTAGCCGAATGGATCGTATGAGGAGTCAATAGCGCGATTGAGAACCTGTCGAGATAATTGGAGTATTGTCATGTACCTACCTAGAGTGGTCATATCTCATATTTGCAAGCATCGCTGTAACAGCGTCTAGCATTCTCCCTGCTTTCAGAAGCCGCTGACGTCTTTTTAAGGCAATTAATTTACGTGGATATACAGCATATACTATGGGGGTGCTTTCTACTGCGTACGAGACGACCAGGTCTTGATAGAAGCATTAAAATCTCCGAGCGCCCTGCAGATTTTATTTGCACTTACTAATCATGAGCTCGGTAGCAGAGGTGGTTAGCTATTTTCAGCCTCATCGTCTCTTCTTAATTTACCCCGGTTATTGTTTTGACAGCTGCAGTTGAATATCCAACCAGTTGTGAGAGTGAGAGCTCTTCAAATCGCCACAATTGAATAGCTCCGCCAATTTCCTAAATCTGCAACGAGCTCATGAGGAAAGCTCTGGGGCAGTTGGACGAATGAGATGTTAGAGTTGAGTCTTTGCGCTCCAATTCGACTCCCACACTTCCACACTTCCACACCACCACCATGCCCATGCTTACGCTTGTCTCGCGTACCTGGCGCCTAGATTCAGGGCCGCATAAAGGGTCGCGAGCATTTCATGCTTCAGCCAGTCTTATCACATGCTCGTCTCCAGCATTGCTATCAGCCATTCGGAGACCTCGACCTACCTAACTTCAAAGCGTCACTCGTAGTCTTAACCAAATTCTTCGGTAGATCGCTTAGACTACGACACTAAAGACTGGGCCCTGGTTACGTTGCCGTTTCTATGTTACATTTTCAAGATACAATTCATTGAATTCTTCAATGTCTCCCGGAATGATATCGTCGTATATGAAAAGTCTAATGATTGTCACTACGACGTAATATGATTATGATCAGGAGTAAGTTCCTATAATGCTCTGCACAGACTGCTGAAAGAGTCATTGCTTAGAGACTCATTTGTTTGAAAGTGGCTTCGGGTGGTTCGGGCTCATCATTCAACTATTGTTACACGATATCGTAAAAGGTGAATAGATATAATACGGATATCACCTATCCCGAACTCTCTCCATCTCCAAAGAGAGCAATATCCCCGGCGCCTCTTTCGGCCCCTGGATACGAAGCCGTGATTATCACCG